CCAGGAGGTCTCTAACCCAACCTCCTCCTCAATGAAAGCTCAACATTCATTTCCAGACAGGTTGCTCAAGAATTTCTCCAGTCAGGTCTTAAAAACCTCCAAGGGCAGAGACTCCATGATGACTCCATGCAGCCTGTCCTAGTGATTAGTCATGCTTAGGAGGCAGAAATCTTTTCCTTGTATCCACACAGAATCTCCCCTGCTTCAGTTTAGGACCATCACCTTGATATCCTGCTATACACCTGAGTAAACAGCCTGGCTTGGTCTTCTTATCAATATCCTCATAGGTATTGGCAGTTACTGTTAGGTACCCCGAAAGCCTGCTCTTCTCTGGGCTTCAACAAGTCCAGTTTCTTCAGTGTCTCCACAGATGACCTGTACTCCAGCCCCTGACCACATTGGTGGCAGTCTGCTGAACTTGCTCAAATTTATCAGCACTTTTCTGGCACTGGGTGGGCCAAATTAGATGTAGTACTCTACACATCATCTAACAAGTGCCAAGTAATGGAAAATAACCACTTCCTTCAATGTACTGGCTTAAGCACTCCTTAAAACAGCCTAGGATGCTATCAGCTGCGTTTGCTGCCAGGGAGCACTGTTGACTCATAGTGTACTGTCCACAAGGACTCCCAGGTACCTTTCAGCAAAGCTGCTCCTCTGCCAGTCAGTCCCCATTCTGCACCAGTGCCAGCTGTTGGTCCATCCAGGTGCCGGACCCTGCATTGCCCCTGCCAAATTTCATGAGGTTCACACAGGCCTCTTCCCCTCCAGCTTCCTCTGAACAACAATCCTGCCCTCATACTGATGGACTGCACTCCACATTTACTGTCATCTACAAAGTCAATTACACTGTTTTCTCTCTCCTGTCCAGGTCACCAAAAAAGCCAGACCTCTGCAGTACTCCACTTTCCACCACCATCCATGTGGGGTACAAACCATTAACCATTACCTGCAGGCCTGACAATCTAGCAGTTTTCTACCCATGTAGACAGACATTCATCCAGACTAGGACATCCCAACTTAGGCTTTTTATCCCACAGCATCGTTGGAGTCCTAAGTTGGGATGTCCTAGTCTGGATGAATGTCTACAGACTGGGTGGGGATGTGGTCATGAATGGCTGCCTTGGCTGTAGTGACCAAGAAACAGCTCCAGATCCTAGAGGAGTGAGGCAGGTAAGCATCAGAGTACAGGTCCCGTGCTTTCAGAGAGCAAATTTCCGCTTTTTAGGAAGATGGTACGCAGGATCTCATGGGAGACAGTTCTGAAGAGCAAAGGAGCTCAAGAGAGCCATCAGGCCTTTAAGGAGGACTTTCTCCAAGCATGAGCACAGGCCATCCCCATAGTCAGGAAAACAGGCAGGCAAATCAAAAGATCAGCTTGGCTAAGCAGGGAACTTCTCACATAGCTCCAGTGCAAAAACTGCTTATACTAGATGTGCAGGCAGGGACAGGCCACAATGGAGGAATTTAGGACCACTGTCTGGGCAGGTAAGGATGCTGTCAGGAAAGCCAAGGCTCAGGGAGGCTTGAAACCACTATGGGATGACCAGGACAGTGAGAGAAACTTCTGCTGCTAGGTTATCTGTAAAAGAATAAATGAGGAAAATGTGGGCCTGTTGCTGAACAGGGGATTGATTTAGTGATATCTGATGCTGATGAAGTGTAGGCTAGATGAGCAGACAGTGAGGTGGACTGAAAACTGAATATGTTTCTGGTCACAGGAGAAAGATGGTGACTGGGAGTAAGCGGGATGGTTTTACCAAGCATAAGTCACAGTTGACCATCTTGACAACCATTTTTGGATGAAATTACTAGATATGTGGATGAGGAGAGAACAATGGGTGTCATATACCTTGACAGCCCGACTCCATTTCACAGAGTAGCAATCTCTCCAAACCCAGACAAAAGCTGGGAAAGCTTCCTCTTGGCCACATCAACTCTTGCTCCTCACTTAAGTGCTTCATATGCACACACTGGAGGACTGGAGGCCCCCTTGCAGAGATCTCCTAACAGGCAGTATTAACCAGAAGACCAGAAGCCAGCACTTCAGCAGGGACTGCCATTTGACCAGTATTCTCATCTCAGTGTGACTAGGAATTTTTTTTTTTTTTTTTTTTTCCAAACCCCACTGATCTCCAGAACACACCTCCTTCAAGCCTGTATGCTCTGCTGGGGTTTCCAAGGGTGGTAAAAATGTAAAACTTGCTCTGCCCTAGTGAAACATAAAACAGCTGCTCTTGACCTCAGCCTAAAAGCTGGTTAATTCTGCTCCTGAAACTCCTGCACAGAGGACAAGCATTCAGCATTCATGGCACAATGGCCCCCCGTACCACCATTGAGAAGCATTCGACAGAAGTCACTCTGAGCCTTCAAATCTAAGGGATCCTGGCCAGTTTGCCCACTGGGTTATTAGCACTGACTGCTCCATAGAACAGGCACTTACCTTCCTGTTTTATACCACTGTTAACTGTCTGCTCATCCTTCAGGGCACTGTCCTCCTTGTTCAGTTCTTTGTCTGAAAAGAGATCAGAGAAGAGCTACAGTCCTTCAGGAGTAAACTCCATCGCTTCTTCCCCACACCAGCATAGGTCATTGCTCTGTGCTGTCCAGAGCTCAGCAGCACACCTTCTCATCTGCAATTGTTACATACTGCTGTGTTACCAGCAGAAGCCCTATTTAGGATTGCTTTGTATGTGCATTTCGGAGAACATCATAGCCTTGCCTGCTGTTTATTGTCTGTATTGCATGTTACCTAGGTGCTGCAGAGCGTACTGCACAAAGGTGCACTGATGCCCCTCCCTGATACTCCCACCCCACACTGCAACAAAACAAAGTATTTTATTTTGTTCCCCTAGTGTCCGAACAGGCAAACTTTATCTATGGACCTGATACTCTTTTGCCTGAACTGTACATTTTGCTCCTTTCTTCCATAAGACAGGCAAAAAATAAACCTCCTTCTCCTATATCCAGGTCTATGTATGTGGAAATAATTACACAAGTGATAGGATGATCCCACAGTGCACCACACCTTCGCCATCAGCTACACAACCCCTATTTCTTCAGATGAGGAAAACTGTTCTACACCCATTACAATTCATACAGAAAGAATAAGTGGCAAAACTCAGGGGCTTCTGGGTTTCCTTTTCCTTATTGTCATCATTAGTGATTTCTCCCTTAATTGGGAAAAACTTCTGCCTTCTCCAACCCCCTTTATTATCAGCTCCTTGTGGAAAATGGTGGAAGAGTTAGTGAGTGAATGAATCAGTGCAACAGCCCGGGCCAGGGGGGGAACCCACAAACATTTTTTTTGCTGAGTTGAACTATAATGTTCATATTTCACTATCCCTCTGGAGTAAAAAGAACTTCTAGAAAAAAAATACAGGTCCCAGGATTTCCTTGAAATTTACACTGGCCATACTAAGAAAACAAAACTGGGGCTTTGCTTAGCTGCTTGATGAATGCAGTCAAAAGACTTTCCTAGAGCCTAAAGCAAGTGGAAGATACCACATCCAGAAATGGTGCTTCTCTAAGGAAAGAAGCCTGTTGTATCTCCCAAATTAGCATTTTGCAAGCTTGTAAGCATCCCATCTCTAAATCGGCATGTTGAGGCTCAGACCTATTTGCCATCAATACAAACAAAGCTTTGAAGTCGCAGCATTTTATTATCTTAGGTCCTGCTTGAGGGTTTCTTTCCAGCAGAAAGCAAAGATCACCAACCCATGATGACACACTATAAAAAAACCCTTGCACTCTTTTGCATGCAAATCAAACGTAACATTAGACAAAAGGGTAATTTGCTTATTTACTATAAAAAGGGATTCCCTTATACATGCTTTGTTCTTCTTTCCACAGATGGTGAAGTGATTTGCAAACACGGCGTGCACCATCATTCTCATCACATCAAGAGAGAAGCTGAAGCCCTAAGAAGGTATTTCTATGCTGAGAACATGCTAATATGTTTCGGACTGTGAAAGGCTGTGTGCAAAATTAATTCCCCCTTCCTGTTCCCCTGTTTTAGGGTACCATCTCACTTGTTACCTGCTTCAGGCTTTTCATTGTCATAACCAACAGCTTGTGAAGGTGTAGCTGCAAGCAAACAGAAATCCTTTTTAGAAATGTATATGGAGGTAGCACAATAGTCTGCAAAATATGCAACTCAGCCTTAAAGCGACAGTTTCATTATAACACTTTAGGTAGATACTCCTGAGAACTAGTATGTTATGCCACTTTATTGAAGGACTCACAATTAATTTCAACTTCAATTTCCCCCAGCAATCACTTAAGGTCCCAGTCCATAACCAACATTATCTAGGCTTATGCCTACAGCTTTACAAAAATCTTACTGAAGTGGGTTAACTTAAGGTGATAAAGCTGCACAAATTTGCCATAAAAAGCCAGAGATAGCTGAGAAGAGAATCCACATCTCTTTTTATTTCATCTGTGTGTTGCATTAACACTGTGACTTTAAACCCTTTCTCTCTGCAGACCTTAAAGAATCTACAGTAGAAGCACAGGCCATTCTAAAGTAAATTTAAATGCAGTACGAGAAGTAGTTTTTTTGGGTTGGTTTTTTTTTCTTCCCATCCTTCTCTTTTTTTCACCTTCATATCAATCCATAGTCCCTGAACTTCAGTGATCTCTAAACCATGGGCTAGAGCCACAGCTTTAACAAATATATGAAAATATCAGAAGAAAAATGAAGTTCTTTATCCAACATACTGCTAAAAAGCTCGTAAGACTTTGATATGCTGGGACGGGGGGTGGGGAGGGGTGTAGAAAGGGAAGAAAAACCCCAAACAAACCCAACAACAAAAAGCACCCAAACCCCTGCTTTCATAGCACTGCCTCCCTACCTGTGGCATCTTTTCCAGGCCCATCACCAAGGACCTCATCACGTTTCTTGAACCTCCAAACCCATAAAAACATTAAGAAACTTCAGAAATTAAACAACTTAAGAAATTAAACATACAGAAAATGTCTGCAAAGGTAGTTTGCCATCCAAGAAACATCCTGCTCCAGCCTTGTGCTAACTCCAGCAGCTCATGTAAGATACCAGACCAAATATCCCACAGGAAGCCACTGTTAGTTCAACACCAGAACACTCCAACAGGGCACTGAGCTCGTATCTGATGGCAGGAGCTTTGGCCATTCCCTATTCAAACAGTATTTGGTCTGGTGACCTCCACAAAGTATTTTTTAAAAGTCTTCCCCTGCTCTCCCTAATCTGCTTGAATGCCTGATTTAGTTTGGTTCATAAGAACAGACCACAGTGGTCCTGGCAACAAGATGTATACATGTTAAAACTGGAACACATTAGCCTCCTTAACCCTTGTGAGAAGAGCACAGACTAAAGGAGCTGTCCCCTTCCCTAGCTGCTCACCATATAGAGTGATTCCCACACCCCAACACACAGACCTGCAAGCCAGAGATCTGAGCGATTTTGCTGCAGACTAAAGAAGTTAAAAAAAAAAAAGCAGCAGGATTAGAATGGACAGCAGAAGCGCAAGTGGAGATCTGGACAGGAAGACAGGAATGCAGACAACCCTGACAATCTGTACTGCCTGCAGAAGGGCATCACGCATGGGTGGGCAGCAGACTGGTAAGTAATGGAAAGAGGTGAGGAGTTCCTCCACTGACTGTTTCCTTCCCCCATCTTGACTATTACAAGGAGAAGACAGGCCTGCAAAATGGAGTAAGAGTGAATCAAAAGATGCTGCTAACAGATTTTTTTTCTGAAACAACTGAAAGGGGTTAGAGAAAGAAAAGGAAGGAAATGCAGCTTGACCCGCAGGATGTAAGCATGCACCAGAGTGATGCACCAAAATCAAGGTCCATAGTTCTACACACCAGACTAGCAATGTGCCTGTCTTCACCAGTCTTGGATGTATTTTCAAGATATGACCAAGGTAAACTAACAGCAAACTCCTGCCAGTCTGATGTGATACCACCTTCAATAATCATCATTAAATCTACTGCTACATGCACAGCACCAGTCCCCACCCACTGGAACCACCAACTTTCCAAGTCAAATTCAATGCACAGAGAAAAAGGATAGCTACCCAATTTCCAAGATAGGCAAGAAATTGCCATGGGGGACACTGGCAATGAGCAACGTTCATTCATGCCCAGCCCTAAGCACTTGATATGAATACTAGGTTTAGAAAAATAATCAACCAAATTTCTGAAAGAAGTTTATGTTAATGAGACAGGCAGGTAAGATTAAAAGAGATGGAAGAAGTGTTAACCTCATTTCAGCATGTAGACCCGCCCTAACCAAACAGGTAAAAAGTTCTCCAACAGACAGATTGTGCTTTTCCAGCCCCCATCCTGAGGCCAGCCCCCATTCTCTATTGTCAGAAGCAGAATTCATCTCTAAAGAGAGCTGCTCACTAGGCAAATCTCAGGCCATTCACCATCAGTAATTCAGCCAGTCACACTAACACATCCACTAAGTGCAGGTCCCTATGATTATTCAATATTGGACCTCAACTGAGACTTTGAGGCCGCATGTGCACACACTGAAAATCAACTCAAAAGCTTACATACTGCAAAAAAGGAAAGAGCAGACCAGACTCCTTGCTCCAACCAACAGCAGATGTCTGAAAATATCTATACCCCAATACAGGTTTCTTACCTCTGTCTGAGTTGGGCTGTTCTTGGCTGTCCACAGAGCAAAGTCGCTGATGTTCTCCTATAACGAAATTTACTTATTTTAGAAAGTATGTGTTAAATGACCTGGAAAAAAATAACTACACTCTGTAAAACAACTAAGGCCCAAAAGAAAACTTACTCTTTTACCTCTCCAATGAAAGACTATACTGCCAGAGAGAAAAAATTCACAAGCCTATACCAAATTAAAGCAATAGTCTAGCAATAGTCTTTAGCTGTCTTACCTGAGTCATGCACTGTACTGTTGTTCTGAGCAGCTCCTCGAGTTCCAAGCTTAGTTCTAGCTGCACCAAAACAAATAGAATACCTGTAGAAATTACTCAGAAATAAAGTTTTGTGCTTTTGGAAACTAGCCAACAGCCTCTATCCATTCCCTACCGCCACAACCCAAAAAAAAAAAAAAAAAATCACTGAGGACATGCAACTAAATACTTGACTTGTGGAAAGAAGAAACAGTGAAATATTGTTCTGGGGCAAAAACAGTCAGTGAGAGATCAACAAAATGGGCCTTCTGCAACAACAAATCAGAACACATCTAACCAAATCTAAAGCAGAGTTCAGCAGTTCATGACTCAGCCTTGTTCTTAAATCAGCAAATCACATCTTCTGTTTGATTATACCTATGCAGTGCTTATCCTACTGAGGTATAACAAGTTTATTTTCTAGCATAGTCAAACCTTTGCTGTTTCAAGGGAAGTAGTTGAATTGTTTTGAGCTTAACTGACAGCCAGTTATGAATGACATTCTTCCTGTGTTGATACCAAGCATAGTGTTGTTCAACATTACCAATGTGGACAAGGGCAGAGAAGGCACCCTCAGAAAGTTTGCAGATGACACCAAAATGGAGACAGTTAGGGGATATGCTGGAGGGCAGGGCTACCACTCAGACGGACTTCGACAACCTGGAATAGCATGCTGGCAGAAAAGATGTGACGTTCAAAGGCAAATGTAAAGTCCTGCACCTCTTGAAATCACCCCACAGAGCAGTACAGGCTGCCTGGTTAGAAAACAGCTCTGCAGAAAAGGACCTGGAAGCCCTGGTGGATGACAAGTTGAACATTAGTCAGAAACATGCCCTTGCAGTAGAAGCTTATCAGATACTGGGCTGTGCTAGCAGAAGTGTAGTCAGCCCATTGACAGAAATAATTCTATCCCTCTATTCAGTATTTGTGATACCACATGTGGAGTACTGTGTCTAGTTTTAGGCTCCCAATTCATGAAAAAACACCGACATTCTGAAGCTAGTCCGGCAAATATCCATCAAGATGTTTAGAGGGCAGGAGCTCTGCAAGGAGGTGCTGAGACAATTTGGTTTGTTCAGCCTGAAGAAGGCGGCGGCTAAGGGGATGGCTAATTGCAGTCTACAACTAACTTAGATAGCAAACAAAGGAAACTCCTCTCAGAAGTACAGAACAAAAAGACAGGACGCAACGGCTGCAAGTTGCAAAAGGGAAATCCCTAACAGAAATAAGGAAAATATCCTTCCCCCCCAGGGGTGTGCTTGAACACATGCTGAAAGAGGCTGGGGAATTTCCATCCTTGGAATTATTCAAAGTTTGACTGGACAAGGCCCTCAGAAACCTAATTAGCTCTGAAGTTGGTCCTGCTTTGAGCAGCAAGATGGATGAGACCTCCAGAGATTTCTTCCCACTTAGTTTATTTTATGATTCCATACCAACAGAAACTAAATGGAGAATGATCAGGAAAGCATAAGGTCCACATGCATTATACATCTATGTACGCTCTGATCAGAGCCTCCCTCCAGAATATCATCAATTAGTCCTTCCTAGATGAGAGAGATATCCCATGCTCTTCACCCTGCAGCCACCCCCAAGTGGTGACCCCACCTGGAAGCCAACAGGAATTTTCCATGCAGAGCACTCTTAGGATGAAAGAATGTATTCCTGTTTGGGACTCTCTCAAACACAAAGAGAAGAGATGTTGTGCACCTCTTTTTCAAACCAGAATACAATCTGACATATTAACCTAAAAAGATGGCAGCAAGAGATACACAGTGACAGGCTACAATTACCATTTCCAAATAAGTTGTCAGATTTACAAAAAAGATACTCAAATACGGTGTAGGAGTGGATCGAGAAACAAATCTAGAACTCCAAGACGATGGCAACACAGGCTGACGGGAGGCACAGAAGTCTCTGTGTATCAGTTGAGCACACAATGTTCTCAGAGTAGACTCAGCACAAGGTTTTCAGCAGGCCCTGGTATTAGTCTGTCCCAACAATAAATCTCATCTTGAGGGCAGCTCTCAAAAAAGGCAGTAAAAGCACACTCAGGTAGGAATGGGAGAGGCCATAGATACTTGCTAAGTAGAAACACACAGTAAACACCCAGTCTGAAGGAGAAATATGCAAACTACAGTGTTTCCCAGTACACAGAGCGCAGTGCCTGAGTGCAAGAAAGTTCAGTATATTATTTCCTTCAAATCTATTAGCCTTTGCCTCAGTTGTACTTGCTTCTACTACTGTATTTACAATACAACCCACAGTCAGAAGCTTTCATACGTTCTACAGAACCTTACATCAGCATAATCTTGGAGCATGTTAAGCCTAATTAGGAAGTGCTATACATACCTCTTCTGTATAGGACTCCTAGTATTACTACAGCTGAAGTTAAGAGAACAAACGCTGCAATAAGACCACCTCTGCTTCTTTTGTGATAGCTGTATCCTTTAAAAAAATAAAATAAATAATGATTGGTTAGTTAAAAAGCAACTGTGTGATACACTACTTTGGTAGAAATACAACCCTGAGTATGTTTTATAGCTATTTGTTTTTAAAAAACTAACCTGAAGAAATTAATGCAGCAGAATCAGTTATTAGCAAAACCCTAAGGTGCTGCAGGTGCTGGAGCAGAGATTCCCCTGCAACCTGTGGTAAGACCACAGTGAGGCAGGCTGTCCCCCTGCAGCCCATGGAGGTTAAATGTGGAGTGGATATCCACCTGCAGCCCATGGAGGACCCCACGCCAGAGCAGGTGGATGCCTGAAGGAGGCTGTGACCCCATGGGAAGCCTGCACTGGAGCAGGCTCCTGTCAGGACCTGGGCACCCATGGAGAGAGAAGCCTATGCTGTAGCAGGTTTGCTGGCAGGGCTTGTGGCCCCGTGGGGGGACCCACGCTGGAGCAGTCTGCTCCTGAAGCACTGCACTCCGTGGAAGGGACCCATGTTGGAGCAGCTCATGAAGAACTGTAGCCTGTAGGAAGGACCCACATTGGAGAAGTTTGTGGAGGACTGTCACCCACGGGAGGGACCCCACGCTGGAGCAGGGGAAGAATGCGAGGAGGAAGGAGCGGCAGAGACAACACATAATGAGCTGACTGCAACCTCCATTCCCCACCCCCCTGCACTGCGGTGGGGGAGGTAGAGAAATCAGAGGTGAAGCGTAGTCCAGGAAAAAAAAGTGCGGGGGGGGGGGCGGAACGTGTTTTAGATTTGTTCTTGTTTCTCATTATCTTACTCTGATTTTGATTGGCAATAAATTAAATTAATTTTCCCCAAGTCTAGTCTGTTTTGCCTGTGACAGTAATTGCCAAATGATCTCCCTGTCCTTACCTCAACCCATGAGGCTTTTGTCTTATTTCTCCCCCCTGTCCCGTTCAGGAGGGGGAATGATAGAGCAGCTTCACAAGCACTTGGCAGCAAGCCAAGGTCAACCCACTGCATGTCTCATTTCTAACAAGTCTCTAATACATAATTCCAGTGAAGGAGGAAGAATTCTATACTGGTAAACCATGAAAATGACTTTTGCACAGAAGTGGGAAATTTTGTCCATTAGGGACTGCCTTACACACCCTACAAACCAGATGGTTCCAAACGTGTTCTCAACCTATGTTTTTTTTTTAAAGAAAAAAAAAACCAAACAAAAAAACAGCTCAACTGAGGCTGTCCCAAAGGAATAAGCAACAGCAGGAAAACTCTCTTTTCTCCTTTTTATGTCGGTCTGTGAAGGAGGAAAAGAAGTTTGCTCAGTGACTCATGCATATGCTAGACGAGAAATTATTATATCTAATGGCTGCTAGATGACTCACTTAGGATGACGGAATAGTTTCATTCCATTTCATTTCATGGAAAGCAGTACAAAGCACAACAGCCTAGCATTAATTACACAAGGCCAGAAGGTCCAGCAGAGATCTAAGTGTCTCTCCCTCTTTATTATTACTCATTTCAAGTCACAGCTGCAGGTTTTATTCTGTTGAGATCCCTGCAAAAAGTATCTTTCTGGGGGCACCAAACTGTGAACCTCATACCTTTCACCAACCTTAAACACACTTTTAGCAGAAAAATCACTTCTGATGCTTTTACTCTTTAAATTCAACTTCCTGAGAAGTCAGTAGAAATCTTACAGTCAAAGTCCATGCTGCTTCCCAACCTAGCCTCTCAGACTTGCGTATACAACCTGACCCACTCATTACCTTTTTGATCTGGAAAGCATTGAGTCAAAGAGATACCAGAGCTCTTTTCCGTTTGAGAGAATTTAATGAAACATGAAGCTTTCTCAGAAGCATCAACATTCTTCGGAATGGAGACTTCCTGGCTGTGAGAAGTCTTTTGCATGCTGCTGAACTTCCAAGTGTAATTCAGAGGCTGCTGGAAATCTGCTATACATGTTAACACAAGGTTATCACCACTGAAGTTGCATCTTATTTCAGGTTCTGAAGGGGGATCTAAAAGGAGAGAAAACATTCTGTGTTACTTTGGCTATAAACTGCCTTGAATTTTAGCATGGGACAAGGGCTGGAGTAACAAAAGCAGCAGGAGAGTGCACAGATAAAAGTGCATGTGTAAGGTGTGCCTGCATATGCGCACGCATGTGCACGAGAGAGAAATGTATTTCTAAAAGTGGCCCTGTTTGTGGTACTTCAGTGACTAATTTGAGACTCCTCATGGTTCATTGTCAATAGGATTAATACACACACTGGTCAAATAGATTTCCCAAAGACTGCAAGTGAAGCTGCGTAGATCTGCACAGGATGATGCCACAGATATTCCAGCACATATAATATGCCTGCAGGAGCATCTTTAGTAGATACATAATGCCTGGGATAACTTGGTCAGCTTGCTCAAAGAGTTTGGTTATCTACCTGAAAGTATACAGTGTGCCATCTACACACATTCTAGAAGTCATTCCAAAGTGAGTAATGATGGGCACACAAATTAGATGCCACCTCTGAAAATTTGTTTAAAGTGCCCAAGCAACTTAACAATAGAGCCAAAGAACAGCTCCCCTCTGTTTCTGTTTGCTTCCCTGACAAATAAACAATTCCCTTTCTAGCCTTCTTAAAAAGTGAATGAAGTGGTGCAAATTCTTTATGCAATTCTCCACTACTTACCTAACACAGCAAGGCTGAAGGTTAAGAACTCATTTTTTTTCCCAGAATCCAAATATTCTAACATGTACATGCCAGAATCACTCTTCTCCAAGTTAAATATAGTCAAGCCTCCACTCCCCGTGTCAAGCAAGCCTCTGCTACGGAGAGAAGTAAAATATGTCGGTTGGTTTTGCCCTTCCCATTCAGCCACTTTATCCTTGTTTTTTGTCCAAATAATTTCCCTTATTTTTTGGTCTATTTTTACTGGAAAAGCAAAAGTTTCTCCCACGATGCCAAACACGTCCTCACAGCAGATGTGTGCTGCAGGGGGAAAAAAAGAAGAAAAAAGTTACTTTAACAATTTTTTTATAAACTATTGCTTGACTAATGCTGTATGCACTACCAGATACATTCAAATTTAGGTTAGAGGCACATCACAGTATTGCAAAGTAAGGCATGTGTCAGCTAAGAATTACCCAAACCCAGCCTGCACAATCATGTGACAGGCAAAGGGATCCATTTTCCACATTCTGGTCCCAGGTAAAATCGTTGTCCTGATCATCTTCCCTATCCTAAGCTCCTCTATTCTCAGTACTTTCCCTCTGTTCACTTGAATTAGGCCTCCTGCCCATGGTCTGGTGAAAAAGACGAAATGAAGAACTGTTGTCACCAGCAAAATCTATCTCAGCATCTTGTTGCAGAATGCCCAGACTGAAGCTCCTGCTGGGCAAATAAACTGCAACTTTTCCAGCATGAATATTCATAGACTTAGTAAAAAAGCACAGTTCTGACAAAATTGCTACTCAGTTCAAAGCGCCTGCTCTGAAATCATGGGGATACTAGGGATTTCCTTTGGAAATGTCACTTAAGCAAGTTTATTTCACGGCCAATGTATGTGAAATAGCATCCCAACTGCTGAGATCTAGCAGAGCTGCAAGCAAGAAATGAGAGCTGTCCAGAAACCTTAACAGCTATCAGCTTTGAATCAATCATATTCTGCTAAAAAAGGCCCAGACAGTCAATATAAATAGGTAAACAACAACAAAAATGAAGCCGGATATGAGATTTTTCTCTAGTTTTTATTAAAAACACCTGCATGTGTGAAAAAAAAAATCTACAGATCTAACAGATGAAACCAAATTCTGCTGTGGGGAAGGGATACTGTAAACCATTAGCATATCTGTGTCCCTGCTTCAGTTTTCAGCAACCACCTCCTACTTCTGAATACCTCAGAATGGCTCTTAAAAAAAACCCCACAAGATGACTGCCATGACAGACATGTGTGTTGACATAGATAAAAACACGTCAATACTGAGTTCAAGTTACACTTGCATTAAGGACTCGATTCCACTCCATGGTAGTAGCAAAAAGTTACCACTTAAGTTGAAGGAAGGGCATGATTAAGATATAAATGAGGTCTCATATTAAAGCAAGATTCCCAATATGCACCATGGAAAACTTCCCTTTAAGTAGTAACTGTGCATGGTGAAAGAGAAGTATTTCAGAAGCCTACTCCTCAAGCCAACTGCTCTCAAGTGACAGCTACTATTTTGGGTTTGGTTTGGGGTTTGTTTTTTTTTTTTTTAAATTCCTAAATGGCATCAAGTCATGAACCCACCAAAATCCCTATATCATTCTGTGCTTCCCTTGCTTCTCATGTTATCATTATATGAAAACTTACTACTGTTCATAAATCAATGCAGATACTACAGCTTTATCACATCAAAACAAGTAGTCACTTCCCTTCACTGTATATGAGTCCAGAAAACAAACTGTAGCCCATCTTGCACCACATCCTATCACCTTTCCATATGAAAGCAGCCAGGAGGTCAGCCAGGCCAGTCATTAAGAAGATTAGGTTCCCTATTGGCAAATAACAATGCTCATCAGCATACCAAGTGTCCTGCTGTTCTGCCTGCTGCCACACCATAGAAACAAAGACTTTCTCAGACAGGAAATGGGAAACACACTTCTTTGTGCTTGGGTACACAACTGCACACACAGAAGGTCTTCTCCATGCCTTACTTCTCATGGACTATCCAATTCATTTGCAATTTACCCATGAAAGTACTCTTCCCATGCCATTACAGTTTCTACTACTTCTTGTCTGCACTTATGCTGTGGCCTTGTCCAGGCACAGGAGCTGTTAAATGAAACAGGGTAGAGAGGGCTCAGCTACCACTCCCACATCTTTTCAACACAACCCACCTGCCTTTCTTTGTCTTCTATCCCATTCAGACAGCTTTAAACATTTCACTTGCTCCTGCTGCTCCAGTATGAGCATCTCTTTCCACCTATCTCAATTAACAATTTCCAGAAAAGATAAGAACCCAGGAGCTCCAACATTTGTGTTTGGAGACCACAAGAAGGAAGGATGCTGGGCAAGATGAAACACTGTTTTGATCTGATGAAGCTTGGAGTCTTGTTAGAGACTTTTGTTTCATAAAGACAATTTCTAGGAGTGCATTTTCCTCAAGAAGTCATCTCTCACTGCCTAGGGACCTACAGTATTCCTAGCATGGAGAAAAACTCCCTGCTCTACCTACTGTGAAATTCTACCTCTCGGTAACTTTGTCTCACACTCGCAACCAAGCTGTTGTGGCTTAACATCACCATGCGTAAACCAAGCCACAGTGGCTGTTGACAAGAGCAAGGTGAGACGACTCCCTTCGGGGAGGAAAGCAGCCATTTGCTGGGGCTAAGAACATGAGCGGGACAGCCACCACTGCTCAGCCAACCACTAATAGCTTCCTAAGCCTGGGTGTTGATGCATGTAAACTCTCCGTGTCTTTGCTCTCTTTCAGTTAATCGTAAGAGGCAGGCTGGAGTTAGGATGGCAAGATTGTTTCTTCTTCAAACCCAGAAATGAGACTGGAGGAAAGCAGAGCTGAAAAGAAAACACATTCTCCCTCCACAGTTTCTGCTAGCATGGGAGAGTGATGCCCTCTTTCAGGGCACTCTCTTCCTTCCAAAGGCTTGGCAGCAATGAGCTGAATTGTTCCTGCCCAAGGACAATCACAGCTCCCAGGAGCAAGACAGGGAAAAGGTTATCCTTTCAGGAAAACTGTCATCTCCTCCTGCCTAAAACCAGGGATTGGACACTTACTGCCCTGTTTCACTGCCCTAGTGAAAATGTGAAGAAGCCTCCCATTCAATGCTGTCAGCTTCCTTTTTTCAAGGAAATTATACATCATACAAAAATGTTGCCTAAGGTCTCTGTCATGTATCTCTGAGCTTCTAAAGAAAGCATGTGTCATCGTATGTTTTCTAAATTTCCAAGGAGCCCTTCCCCCTCTTTTCTACTTCCTTTTACATGGAGACAGTCTTCCTGTGCCACAGCAGTTAACTTCTCTGCTGTGAGCAAAGAGGGAGAAGTAACAGCCAAACACTTTCTCATACACCCTTTCTGGAAGACTAGAAATAAGAATGTTTTTTCTCTGCTTTCTCCCTCTCTCCTTATTGCAGCCTATTATTCCAAGATAAAGTTCACACAACAAAGTAGTGCTGTGCTAAGGCCTCCAGTAGCCCCTACAGAAACCGTTAGACTACCTGCTCCTGTATCTCCTTCAGTCCACCTCAAATTCCTTCTTATGCCATGTCTTTGTGTTCTATCCTTCCAAACAAATCACATCATTAAAGTGTTACTGATAAAGAGAAGCTAACATTGTGCGAGCAAAGCCTCTTCTGAAAACCCACTACCTCATCTGGTCTACATCATTTTCTGTTCCCACTTCTCCAGCAGCCAGATACCTTTGCCTACACAGCCTTCTCATCCTACCCTGGCCTCAGAGCCACAGTCAAGCTTTCTACCTACCGCACATCCGCTGGACCACAACAGCATGGGTGCACACATTTGGCCTGCAGCAAACAGCAAGCCATGAATCTTAGCCTGGTTTGCAGTACGTGAAAACATTTTAGATTTTCCCATGTTTGACCACTCAGCTAATGCACGTAACCTGGAACTCCATGCTAACTAAACCATATCTCTGAATGCAGAGCTCGGATCGCAGCCTACACAAGACGAGGCACAGTCCTTCACTCACAGACTAACAGGTCACCCATACAACCTAGTGTGCTATACTCGCGTTTTAATATTTACCTGAACAATTCTGACTCTTTAAGCATTTAAGCAGGCTAAAGGTATCCACACGTTCTGTTCAGACCAAGTAAATGGAATTCAATATTCCATTTATCAGCAATAAATGCTTCATTACTGTATTTGTCTACCTGAGTTGATTTTCTTCACTACTTCTCTTGGAGCTAATTTAAGGCTTAGTTATTCCAGAGAACTTCAGTAAGTTAATTCCCTTTTTATTTTTAACACTACCATTATAATCTTTTTTGGTCTCAAGTACCTATTTGAAATGCATATATGTATATATTAGGTCTATATAAGCAGCAGTTAGGCTCCCATATTACCATTAAGACATTAACATTCCGCTTGCTGAAGCTGGGTGGAAAAGTCCTTACTCATTAGCTTATCGCAAGGAACTGTCTGCCTCAAGAGTTGGGCTTTTCAAATAGTGGATTTTTGTTCTGTGTTTTGTAACTTCCCAACTACCCCTTTTTTAGGCTCTCTCTTTTTTTTTTTTTTAATCGTGAATTCCCCCACCAACGTAAGCAGCAGAGAGGTTACGCTCCCTCCTAACCCTCAGAACCACCAACTGCAGAGAGCCCTAAAATAAATGTTCAGTCCAGAAGGACTATCAGCATATTCACCCATAGTCCTCCTAATTCCCCCACAGGCCACAAACATGACCCACTTCCCAAACTCCAGTAAGCAAGCACTTAGACCCATGACATAAAAGCACGGGCAAAAGCTACAGCCAGGAAAGAGAGAACACAGATGACAGTAAGCTGTAGCAGCGTCCCAGGCTACTGCAAAAGAAAATCAGATTTGTACAGGAATGACTGCAAATCTTATACATAACGTCAAAAGCAGACTCTTTCTCTTGCATACTACAGCAAGTTCACAGAGGTATGTGTGAGGTATTGCTACTCCTGGACAATAGAGGCCTGCCTGCATTTACAGAGCTCTACACATCAGCAAAGGCAGGACCTAAGGGGGGCATCCACCAACAAGCCTGGGTCCCTCCCCACCGCAAAATCCATACCTTTGCTTATATCCCTCAGCACAGGCCTAACAACAGGCAGCATCCCCATGCAAAGGTTACCCAGTCATTTTAAAACTATGCTGCTGACCAGAAGCGTGGGGATGACCTACCCATTCCTCCCTCTCCTTTGTTTTTGTCTGCCTGTTCCCTCAATGAACTAGTCACACAGAGTACAATCTGCTCAAAGTTAACTTGACACACACCCCC